GAGTACTGCGTATGTCCAGGAATTGTGTATTTTAGATCGGATCGAGTAAAAACGTGGACAATTATAGCTTCTACACTTGGTGCATTATTGGGAATTGTTGGCACTTGGGTGGCAAATGAGGTTAGGATGCGTAAGATGAAAGAGCTCGTACCAGATTCGGCATTGTTGACACCACTGGTTAAAAAGATGACGGCACTGGTTGAGAAACAACAGAATGAGGTATGAAACTGCAGTTTTCCTTCCAGATTAAGAGCACAAATTGCTGTTACAATATTAAGATATTGAATAATATTGTCTAGAGACCAGTTGCTCTAGATAACCATTGCAGGTGGCTGCATTTATCACTGACATTAGAGAAGCAATGCATTTAAAAGCCGCTGAAGGGATGGCAATTGTTATTTCAAACAAAGACGTAACTGGTAACGTACTTTCCGAGACTATTGTCAACCTTCTACAGGAGCAGAATACAGTTTTAACGAGAGAACTTGATGCAATCAAACGCTTGATTGCAATAGAGCTGAACTTAAAAGCAGAAACACCGAATGTGGTCTACATTGGTAATGACATGGAGGATCTCCTTAATAAATCAGAGAAAAATATTGAATCAAAAATGAAACTGCAAACACTTATTGAAGTGGTTTTTCTATACACCCTCATAGCCGTGTCCTTACCATTGATTTACGCCTTTTTTAAAGGACCTTAGATTATTAGCATTAATACCATATGGCAGTGTACTGCTTTCCTTTTAAAACATGACATCAGGCATGTTATTGTCTTTACGGGTATTTGAAAGTAGTATATTATTGCAAGGCAGAACTGGTTTGTCTTTTTTTTGTTTAGAATATGTATAGTGCATCCGTGGCTCCCAGAATACTTGAAAATAACGGCTTGTGTTCACTGCATCATGTTGTTTATAGGTTGCAAATAAAACTGCCCGCACTAATCTTAGTATCATATCTTAAACAGGGATTGTCAGCTCATGCGCACGTATGAATCATTCCTATGAGATCAGCACAGGGTTGCAGTTACGAAATGTGGTATGGAGACATATGAATCATTTATTCTGCCGCAAAAAAAATCACTTGTAAAAATGGATTGGAATAGATATCCTCCAATAAACCACAATTAATAATCGTCACCGCGGCTAACTACTTCCTTGCAAGTTGGTCGCAACAAAATTGTATGTTCCCACTGGGCAGTATAACAACCCTTAACATCACATAAAGGAGGATACGCCTGCACGATGCCTTTGTCACACAAATCCTTCAGTGCCATTAAATATTTCGTCTCTCCCAAACGATCCAACCACCTTCGACAGAAGGCTAAAGTCCGGAAATTTTTGTTGATCACATTCAGCAAATTCTTCGATCGGGCTAATCTATAACTTTTAAGTACCTTAAAGGCTACCTTATTACCTTCTCTTCCGTACTGTAACTTTCCTGCCACCAGAAATTTTTAAATAGTACTTATGTTGTATACCAAATAGCTTTATTCATGCAAATTAAGTCCAGTCTTACGGAACAAATAGTGGGTGACATCCAGACCACTATAACGGAAAAATGCTTGCAGATATCAACAAAGGATCTCACAAAAGCTAAGAACAATATTTTGCATGATCTCGGAAATACTCTAGTTTCCTTGAGTCCCTCTCTTTGGTTACTGATTATTGGAATCATACTAGTGATAATTACAAACCTTAGTGGAATATGCTCAGAATGAAGGTCATAATCTTTCATGTAATGACTGCATTCCATATCATCATGAACATAACCTTTACCAGTACTGCCAAATGTTTCAATAGCATAAAACTCGTTTTCCTCCATTTTTGTTTGCTCGCCTCCCTATAATATACTCTGTAATATATGTAGAAACGTTACCATTTTCTAAAAACGACTTCGGTAACAAACTGGACCTATGAGTAGTAAAAAAGCTAGACTGTGTCGCAACCAGTTCATTGAACCTTACCTTTACTATCGGGACGGTTTTCCCAGCATGAATGCGATACGGTCCTATTGAATGTCCGTTCAAATTTCTGATCGGCTTTACGACGTAAGTCCTGCCATTCAGTTCGACCTAATTGGTATCACTTGCAATGTTAAATAAGCGGTCACAGAGGCTTTTTGTCTTTTTTAGAAAGTTTTTCCAAGCATTTATAAAACATCTATCAACAAAACTTCCTGGTTATCTAATATCGTCACTTCTATTTTTAGTGCAGATATCAAATTAATATGAGTGTTCACAACTAAGTGACAGCGACCAGCGAAAAGTTACCTCATGACTGCTCATAACTTCCTCAATTGTTTCGCCGATATCACATAGACGGACATCAATACCCGCTTCTCGAATTCCCGCGTTAGTAGCTTCATGCACCGCATTTACCAAATCATCGAATTTTGGGTCGAAATGAAGTGTGAATGCACAGTCGATGAGGCGGCCACTAACGTGAACACCAAAATCAATTTTACAAACATCACTTTCCTGTAAACAAATCAGTCATAATTTATCTTTAGTCAAGATCAAAAGGAGGGAAATTGAAAAAACAAACTTGTAAAACAGTAGTATCGCCAGCATTTGGAGTGTAGTGAGCAGCACAATTGTTTAGTGAGCAGCCAGTTGGGAAAGCAAGCCCAGCTTTCAGTCCATCCTCATTAATCATTCTACGTGAATGAGCTTCAAGACGCTCACTAAATTTTGAACTTCATGTAACAATAAAATCATATTATATAAAGTGAATATGATAATAATGTGGAATACTATATAATATGCATTCCTTATAGACATACCAAAGTTGTATATAGCTTTTTAAATTTATTGGAACATCATTTCTAGGTGGTTCTCGACATACTGGTTCTTTTAAGGTTGGTACTCTGCTTTTCAACCCTTACTTGATGATTTGAAATTGTTTAATAAAACAGTATTAAGAAAATTTATTGGGTATTATAAAAATCGAAAGTTGAGGTCAAAACTACCAGATTTCAATCATTGTCATTCCCGGCTTAATCCAGGATCGTGCATATTTCCGTGTTTGTCTATGTGCCTCCGCAGCTCGACGGAAATCATTGTATGTCTCTTCAAACGATGCATCCAAACTCTGCAAATATAGTTCATCTGGAATGAATATCAAATTATGTTGAAATAAAACTCTTTGTATACCTTTTTTTCTTCATTAGTCATCCGATTAACAGCAGTACGATCATCAACTTTAGCTGTGTATTCACATATTTCTCCAACAGGGAAATTCCCATCAGGAAACTGCTCGTCAACTGGAACCAAATCTCTTACTTCTTCTTCAAACTGTTCCGTAAGTGACTTTGTCTGTGCAGGCGGCAGTTTGTCGTTTGCTCCCTGCCCTACAAAACAGGTGCATTTAGGCGAATTTTTAATCTAAATTCTCAACAAATCTTGAAGGTTGCTCTCCAATATATATATACACAATTTATTTTCACTTATTTAAGAGATCTTGACGTGATAATTTTGAAAATCCAAAAATGGCAGTCGAACCCAAAACTCTCTGATTAATAGTTAATAGTAGCCTGCTGGCAGTAGGATTTACTGAAACTTCGCAAAAATTTTTTCTCGAAACAAGAGACTGCTTTAAGGCAAGACCAGGTGCGTTTATTATCCCGAGCTTGGAAGCAATAAAACTAATAGTCAGTTTAGATATCTTATCCAGTTTAGATTTGTTGAATTTAATTATATACCTTTTCCAGACTTCCTTATTGATTTTGTTGCGGCTGCAACTGCCTTCTTACGAGTCTCTAGCTCAACTTCCATTAGTATCGCGTCTAAATCATCAAGACCGCTGGTGTCTATAAATAATTAAAACTTATAAGCTCACATAATCTAATCACTTCTTCGTCATCATGATTTGCAGTGATGAGACAGAATTAAGAATGACCATACGCTAGAAAGTTCTTGTCAAGTCAGCTAAAACCGAGCCACGTAGACTACTGAACAACTTAAGCAACTGATGGAGTAGGCAAAATGGTTCAACGGTTGCCATTTTTAGTTTTTTTCGTGAGAAGGAGCGGTTGTGGGTTCACCGCCTGTTGCATTAGCATCAGAAAGCATAATGCTCTATAGTTTCGTACTCTGGAAAAGAAACCAAATAAACAAAAACCTGACCATGAAAATGTTACCACTTATGAAGTGTCAAATTCCTCCAAACAAACCTTTGTTTCCAGGATTTTTTTTCTTCTGGGCATTCATTGCAATATTACGCTTGAATCTGTTGAACTGAAACACACCAACTTTTATAAAACATTTAAACCCTGAAGTAGAACAAAGAACTCTTTATAACGCAAACAAGAAACAAAAATATTTAATATTTTCGAGACTCATGAAAAAAAAAAACCCAATACATATTACAGTATGTATAAAGGAACTGTTAAATCCTATCATAACAAAGAACTGCTAGTAATGAGATCCATGCAGATCTAAAAGCTAGCACGACCATCAAGATTTAACCGCTATCAAGGTTATCCGGGGATCATCAGAACTATCTAATTCACAAAATCGGTAGACTGAAGTTGATCACTGATAGCATAAATGCACGATTAATGAGAGAAAACAGGCAGAAGGTTACTCTTCTCCAAAACTGAAAATTAAAGTTCCAGAACACAAAACATTCAATCCGATCCTGCTTACTGCACAGTCTACTCCCTGAACAGACACGCTATACCAACTTATTCCAACCCTTCTTTTTCCTGCAAACCAAATTTTGCTGCATCATCCCGTACCACCACAATGAAAGACGTTACTTTTCATTCTCATAGAAAGTAGCTTTTGAAACTGTATAACACATGAAGTGAAACATTCTAGCTATCAGCATAGATTGTATTATATACCTGTCAATAGCCACTCAAATGATGGTCAAGGGAAAAAAGTATGTTCAATAGACCGCTCTATTTTCTTGAGTGCTTGCTTTAAAATCGCAGATCCTCAACGAATGGCGCACTCTCGCCGTAAAACGTAGGCATATGCAGACAATATACACAGGCCTATACAGGCAAAACAATCGTGCTGTCCAATGATACACTGCTTGCATTGATCACAGGAGAACGGAGTTTAAGCAAAGCATTCCAGATCACCCGCCATCGGCTTGAATCGAAGCGTGCGAGGTTACTGTTAGCTGTCTCCCTGCTTCCCTTCTCCACATATAGAATAGGCGGAGAGTAGCGGAAGGTTCTTTCATTATGGTAGTCCAGCGAAATTGGTTTGAGAAATATAGCAAAGGATTGATGGACAGCAACAAAGATCAGACTGCAACATTCTCCCTTATTCCGCATCGATTGCAATTGTGCCATCACTGGGCAACTACAGAGCTACAGTCTACTCATTTCGTGAACCGGATAGTTCTAGTGATCTCCGGACGGCCTTAATGGCCTTTGAATAATTCGATTATCTTTAGATATCTGGAACGACAAGATTTGAAGGCAGGGTGCAAAACGAGCATTTCATTGACTTTAAGACCGTAGGAAAGAATTCAGCGCACTAATTCTAGGACTATCAGCATAGATTGTAATCATACATCCAGATTTCATTCATTAATTGAAATTTATAGCAACTCTCCACTTGTAATTTCCAAGAGGATTGTGAAATAGTAGGGACCAGACCTGTTCCTTTCTTTAAAGACCAAACAGCCAACATTTTCTCGAATTTAGCTCATCTACAAATGAGACTTCTTCATTGACCGCAGCTAATAATTCTAGCTAAAGCCTGAGAATAACTTACAAAACTCCACTCCTTGCTGGCTTGCGCAGAAAATTTAGGACTGCAACTTATAACTTCAATAAAATTGCAGTCCTTTTGCAAAATTCATGAGAAATCCACACCAGGACAGGTGCCAGTCTGTCTTTCCATCAAAGTATGAAAAGCACACGATTATATAACTATGAGGATATTCATGATAATGGGCAATGAAATTTACGCATTTAGTTACGGTCGGTCATTTAATCACACGTAGTGAACATGTGAATATAAATATGTTTGGCACATATGTGACGTTGTAAAATGTTGCTCAGAGAACATAAATCAAGGGAAAAATTATTTATCTACTTGACATACTAAGAAATGAATATCAGCAGCGAGTGCACACGAACAAATACGCATACCATGTTTGATTGCAACTCACATGTTTATAACATTCACAAAACAGCAAACTTGTAGAATAATACATTTACCGGATAGAAATGGAAGACAAAAATATGATTTAAAAAAAAAAATTCGTAAGCAAAGTACAAATTAACCCAACATATAAGAAATGAAGAAAGAATATTTCACTACTTTTTCGAACTTGGACATCAAATACAATCAGTTACCAAACCAAACACGTTATGGTACTAAACAAAATGGAGTCGCATGTGTGCTGCACATATGGGTTTCAACTAACGACTAAACTGGATTCACAGCTTTTAAGAATTGACGCAAACTCAATTAAGGTAAATGAGAACAATTAAATCATCTCTTATCTGCTGTACCAATCAAGAAAATATCAAATAATTTTTAAAATGTGCATGAAAGGAAAGTGGGAGTGATAGACGTGGTCACTCTTATACGGTACAGAAGCTGCTGAAAGGAGAAAGTTATAACTACATATACTCCAAGGTGAGGTCTGACAAGAATTTAGTGTTTACAAAACTGTGTGATTTTCGATGAGCATACAGTCGCGTATGTAGCCTAATCACAGACAAATCGACATGTAAATCTTATACACTTCCTGTTTGAAAAATACTGCTTCCATAGCATCAGTAAGCAATTGTTAATTCTAATCTGATTCCATTCATGTAAATATTTGCCATGACAATTCTTAATAAGTTTAGAATCCTTCATCCCAACCAGAAAACTCATCAGGTGGTACATCTTGTTCCGGTGGGTAGCTGTCAAAATTCGTTACATCTGATGGACTCGCTACCTTTGGTACAATTGGTGCTTTCAAAATCCTTGACCTTAAGCCTTCCCAGTCGAAACCCATAAACCACCTAAAAAATACGCTGTTCGAAATCATATTTTTTCTTTTTAGATCTAAAACATGCCTTATAATTCCTTGATGAAGAATTATGCTAAACACGAGAAAAGTCACTTCATCGCCTGTTCATTTCCATAAACTGATCAAATTCAGAAAATAAAAGACATACCTATGTTTACGGATATCACCAACGCCTCCACTGCCACAGCCAAGACGTTCGCCGGGATTGTCTTTGCAGAGTTTCTTAACAAGAGCCGTTGCCGTTTTTCCAATTCGTCGATTTGGAATTTCTAAGGCATCCACGCCTTTCAATATTAATGTATAAGTTTTCATGGGATCTGCGGCCTAGATAAATGAAATAGAACTTAATTACCCTTCTTCACGCCATAAAATTAAATATGTAAATTTTCCAAGTTCTTGTGGAAGTTTATATCGATTCATTTTTGTTTCCACATAAATCCTAAGAAATTTTCACATAAATCTTAAAAAAAAGGTTTAACAATAAGATATACCTGAAATGGTGGACGACCGAGCATCAATTCACATATATAAATTCCTAACGCCCAGTAATCAGCTGCTTGGTCATGTCCCTTGTTAAGGATAATTTCGGGCGAAACATATTCCGGTGTACCACAGAAAGTCCATGTTTTTCGCCCACTTGCTAACTTTTTTGCGAAACCGAAGTCAACCTGTAAACAATTAACTGCAACAACAGCAAAACTTCATTTAAAGACAAAAAAATATAACAAATACAATAAAACAAAAAATGAACACTAAATGTACCATGCGTAAGAGATATGATACATACAAGTTTCAGATATCCTGTCTGGGTAAGTAAGCAGTTTTCTGGCTTTAAATCACGGTAAACAATGCTTTTTCTGTGTAAATATTCAAGCGCCTCTAAAACGCAAGCGACATAAAATCGAGCAGTGTAGTCATCGAAGTGCCCTCTATCTCGAAGCGTAGTCCATAACTCACCACCCAAACAAACTTCCATCAGCATATAAACGTATTTGGCATCACGAAACGTTGTGTATAACCTGGAAAATGATAAGGCAATAACCTTAGTAAGAGTGGAATTAGATAAAATCTTCCTGATTTAAATAATGATAAAACATAAAATTATACACAAGTTTTAAAATAACTGAACCATATTAAACAAGTTAATCGATAACTTTCGAATTACCTAACAATCCAGTCTGAATGAGTTTCCATCATAATATTTCTTTCCGCAAAAATATGCTCTTGTTGCCTTGTATCTACAATATGCTTTTTTTTCAAAGCTTTCAGCGCAAATGTCCGCATTTTGTCACCACTGATGCAAACCTGAATCATCTTTTAAGTGATATCAAGAAAACTAACATAGAAACAACATAGATATCTCAAAGTAAGAAAATTTCGTCTGTTCAGCAGAACCAAAGCAGGGACATATTCTCGAAGCAATAAAAGATTACACTGAAAAGATATGACCATATGTAGTGCAGTTTTTATTAACCGACTAGGCAAGTAAACTAATGCAACATGGCAAAATGACCAGTACTGTACATTTTTTCAAATAACAACATGTATACATGTAGTGGAAATAGCTTATATTTCTGAATAAGTGCTAGCTTATATTGTGCTATAAACACTTCAAGATAAAAATGTCAAAAAATTTTTTGTTGCACAAAAGACGAACCAATTCAACACGACCAAAACCACCAACACCAAGTGTAACAATCCTTTTCAAATTTCTTAACTGCAAATCAGCAAATTCTTTCTCTTGAGCGGTCTTTTTTGGCGATGGTGGCTCAGGTACAACACTGAAATATGTGTTTCTGTAACGTAACTAATCCAAATAGTATCCTCTATCCACAAAATAAATGAAAGAATCTGTGAACAGTGAAGAAAATGATCATTTACACAGTGGCTCTCCTTTGTGAATCCCCATAGTCTCGATTTAAGGCTTCAAGATCACCAATCAGTTTTGTGAATGATTCTCTGTCAAGTGTTAGAACTTCTACACCTGGATTAATTGCGATAATACTTGCTGTCCTTACCTGGAAAAACTTATAGTGAATAAAGAAATATAGAGAAATTAGATAATGTTTAGATAATGTTATAAATACACCTCTTCACCAAGAAGGGCTTTTTCACCGAAGAAGTCGCCCTGCTTTAGAATACGTATTTCTCGAGGCTCCAGTTCGCCTTCAATCTGCTGTGTAACGCGAACTTGACCATTCGTAAGGATAAAGAACGTGTCACCCTTAAACAAAACTTTTATAAAAGGTGAGGCATACTTTTAAATTTACAAATCGAAATCATCAAGTTCTTCAGAGTGATTCCACAAAAGAACAAAACAAAACAAAACAAAACAAAAAAAAACTTTTTCTCCTTCTCGAATAATGTAATTACCACCGGAATAATAATCTTGGTCCAAAACATCAGCAATTTTTGATATTCGATCTTCTGATAAGTTTTCAAATAACGATACCTGTAGTGACAAAATTGTGATTCCGAATTATAGTCCTATCTTACTATTAAAAAGGTTGAAATTAGAATGGAAATTTTAATACCAATGGTGGGTAACCTCATAACTTCCATAAACTGAATTTTATATTACTCAAAAAAATGGTGTTGTAGTATGTTTTTTGAAAACATAAATGAATATAAACAAACTTTGCTAAGAAATGCCATTAATTGTGCATGTCTTTCCATACCCAAACGCATTGTAATCATTTGAAAGACAGAACGATCCAGCACCCACAACTGAACATCTGATAATGCTTGCACAGATGCTGTTCTGAAACCACTTTTTCGCAAATAAGTGATTGCAAAAACAAACTTTTAACACGATGTAGAAAAGACTGTTACATTGTTTACTCCAATTCTAAGTTCCAAAAAATCTTTTCCAGACAACGAAAAAACTTTCTACATGCCCTACACTCGAAAAGTTCCGAATTCACGGTCAGAAAAAGTTTAAAAATATAGGCATACTACGATGCTTCGAAAAAAGAACATAAGTCTGCAGAGAACACAACCAAGATAAAAACGTACAGATTCACGACAATCTGAAACGACTTACCTAACACAGTTATAAAGAATTGCAAGTTCCCCCATAACAACACCTGCACACAATTTTCCCAACACAATACCTTCGCGTGATACCTGAAGCTGTCCCTCTGAAACAGTAACTCTCCATCCAACTTGTAACAATAATTCATAATACCTTATTTGTCGATTACGTTGAAAAGGGAAAAATAACAAGAAAAATAAGTTAATAATTTTCTTTAAATATTACTGAATGAAAAAAATATAATCTAATAAACGTGAGATTAAAAACTAACCAGCAACAACAAACAGTCGATCTCCAGGTTCACCCTCCTGTATAACCCACTGGCCTGCACGAGCACGCATTTCATACATGCATTCTACCAGTTCTATAACTTGCTCTTTAGCAAGCTGTCGCAAAAAGTCATTCTTCTGAACTGCATCCCGAATAAGTTGTTTCGAACTGAAAATTTTACGGAAAAATCAATGATGTTTTCTTGAAATATGAATCACCAGAACAGTTTTTCTCTATTTAGTGAATAGTTATTAAAATAGTGAAACTATGACTGAAATGGTATTTCTGTTCCAAGTTAATGCCTCGATTCATAATGATAGGTCACGTTATTCCTGCATTTTTTTAATCATTATTTTCATTGCCCTTATAGTTACAATGGGTTCAACTGGAAGGGAAAAGTATGTAACTACAGAGTTTGCGAACAAAGCCATGACCATTAATGAAAGTGATTTGATTAGCACAAATTAACTATTACACCCGAAATCACAGTGAATCATAAGAAAACTTCTGCATCTCTTTACGCTGCAGTGACAAAGTTATTTCCCAAACTAGCTTTGTAAAAGAGTGTAAAAGACTGTACAAACCCAGCAGATTTCGGATGATGTTGTAAGACAGCTTTTTGCGTATCTAGGTTGGATGGTTCTGCAGATACTGCCATTTTCTTGGAACGAACACCGTCATCCGCTGTTGGCACCGCCTTTTGCTGAAGTTCAGTTCGTAACTCTTCAGTACCCCAAGAAGCCTGCAAGCAACAAATTCAAATAATGTATATCCACCATAGGGAATGCAACGTATCTGAAACATTCTAATTTTGTGCGGGCGAACATACCTTTTGAGTAACGCTTATTGCCGTAACGGACTGTGCTTTTTGAACAAGTACAGAACGAAGTTTGTCACATTCTGACTAAAAATAATTGAACAAACAATTACAAAAGGAGAGTAGTAAATTTGAATCAGTATAATTTAGCATAAATTCAGTATAAATTATCATATTCCCACAAATGATAGCTACAAAAAATAAAAGTATGAAAGTATTTCGGAATTTTAAAAGGAATTAACCTATTTTCTTTATATCGACAAAACATACCTGCAATGTTCTCACTTCCTTTTCTAATTCGTTAATCCTTTTCAGCTGCGTTTCGACGGTACTTTGCTGCTGCCGGATTTGACGTTCCCTTTTTTCAATAGTTTCCTCCAGTTGAGGAATAAGCTTCTGAATTTCGCTGGCATCATAAGTGCGTGTGCCTATTTGTACCTGGAAAACAAATTATAAAGTGATCTAAAACTTCCTGGCTTCAATTCATTACAATTTTTTTGATACTACAAAAAAAAGTTACCTCTTGTGCTACCTTCTCGAAAAAACTTTCAAGTTTGTCACATCAATCAACAAATCAAACAATGGTTGTTATCGCAATGATTAAATCGACTGCGAAAGATCCTTCCCCATACCTTACCATCACTTCTACAGCCGAATAATCAACAAAAGGATTGAGTTTCCGATTGTCTTATGCACTACTTTTGCATCTCTATTTTTGTTAATTATAAATGATAAATATCTGCGCAAAAAATATATGTGCGAAATTGCTGCATCAACTTTTATTCGCTCCCTTTCAAATACTTAAGCTTTTTGATCATCTAAATTCTTTATCCTACCCGTGCAGCTTAGCAAGTTAATAAAAATCGTACTTTAGTGCTTATAAATTTCTTGAATCACTTAATCCCTTTCAGTTTTCTTCCGATGTCTCAAAAAATTAAGCGAAAGCTTACGCAAGCTATGGTGAACATATGAAAACAGAGTTTCAAAAAAAGGGAGAAGATCGAGAAGAGCGATGCCTCACTTCGTGTATCTTTTTGCACTCTGCAACCTGATTGATGAGAACTAATTCATTTGTTCACAAGAAGAATACGCTAAAAGCTGTTACAAAGCAGCATTAGCATCAATCATCGAATAAGTATGATCATGGATCACATAAGTTAAACAAACAAAACAAATGTGCACTTGTTTTCGCGTCTGAAGATAACTATACTATTGTTGTTTGTTAGATTAAATCAGATAAAAATAATAATTAGCTTGCTAAGTTATCATCTAACTGAAGAGAAAAACAAACGGACTTATTAAGCATTCCATGTCCTTCCACCAAGAATCTTAGGCAACTATATACATTCTTCAGATTCTGTGTGGTTCCTCGAATCTTAACTTCAACATGAAACATTAAAGAAAAAGTGAATAACAAACTGAAATGAAGATCGGACACCATCAGCAAACTTATATTTAATATGTACACAAAAAGCTGAAAAAACAAATCGTAAAAAGAACTAAAAGAAATCGCTAATACTACAAGGTAGCGTGAGATAATTTAGAGTAAGCCGGTTGAATGTAAATGTCCACTATCGGTTCTGATTTCATTAATTATCAAAGCAATTCAGGTGTACTTCATTCTAATCCTGATAACTACTCAAAAAAAGAACGTGAGGCAGCAACCATGAAATTTTGAGTATGGATAGATACTCCTGGTAAAATATCGGAAGGGTTAAGAACGGCAAACTTTCTTCTAAACTAGACCAGTATATTCTAAACCTAGCGGGTAATCTTAGGTAACCAATGGTATGAAATGGAAACTTTGAGTTTATTTTGCATGTAAAGAACACTAATTTCAAATAAGGAAACAATGAAGCATATTGTAACTTATTATTATTATTGTTCGTAATCATTGCAAGCAAAAACATTTTTTATATAAATTTGCAGTATTCAGCACGAAGACGATCTTCTTTCCTAGGCTCTGGGCGTGACCGTTAAGTAGAGGAGATGGAAGGAACCGTGTAAAAAATTAACAAAGAGAACCTGAATAAATGGGGTCGAATGATGCAGCATAGTTCCAACAGTAAAGAAGCGATCAGTTGGCAATAGATCAGTTCGGTTCAGACTCAGTACGGAACTCAGATCTACGCCACTCCACTTCGGATCCACTACTAGTGCCAAATGCTGCAACCAACCCACCACCACATCATACGTCCAAACGAGCTTGAACGCGCACAAACAATCACCAACAGTAACAGCAGCGTTTCTGCAATATGACTGCAGCGAAACAATAAAAAAACTAGCCGAGTGAAGCGTTCTAAAGCTTCAAGCGACGGCGAGGGGACGCGAATTTTTCCATAGCTGTCCTTTCCCAGTAGATATATACAAACAAGACAACTCGGCAACGGCATACACACATATATATACATATATATGCGCACACATACATGTAAGCATCAACTTGGAGCCTACGTTTCGTTCATTAGCCAAGTCATAATGCTGCGTGACCAATGGACTAAGGATATGCTTGTATGTGTGAATCAAGCTCGAAGAAAAAACTTGCAAAAATGCATACTATCAATGAAAGCAGTAAACATTCCGCCATCCGCCACAGTTAGTCCTGATTCTCTTAAGAAAATGCTTTCCAAGATGCTTTGTTGTACTAGCAATACTATAAATGAAAGATAAACATTTCTAGGGTGTTCAGTGTCACAAGTGAAAAACCGTTCCTTTCCTAATGTTACTTCAAGTTTGTTTTCTTCCTTCACTATGATCAATACATCCCCAAAAGTTCATTACTGCCAACCTTACTTCTGGAATAGCATAATATGTAAATTCATGCGTAGTTCACAATTTTTATATGTAAGATGTACCTCCTACTTCCTAATCAAATAATTTAATCACTTAACATGTTCCAACCGTGCTTTCCATTTTCTTACCACCCTTAATGTCACATTATCTTGTGATACCATCGATGAAATCACATACAATATCCACAACCAACTGTTCTTGAATCTTGATAGGTTTTCCGTTCCAATAATTCGAATGACAGCTAAAGTTATATACAAACTAAAACATCAATGGTTAACACCGCTTATTAGGTTTACCATCTCGTTTGAAGCAGTAAATTCCAACATTAGATTAAGTATATGAGCAAAAATTTTTGACAGTTAATAACCGTTTACAGTTTTTGTTTTTATAAAAAAGTTCGAGACAATATCTAGAGGAAAAAAAGTATTTTTTGAAGCTTCTCGCCATCAAAATCTAAGTTATAGGTACATGTCTTCATAAGGTAACTGGATGTATCCAAAAATTTCATACGTCCAGCACCTTCATATCCTACTCTTAATCCGATCGTCCCGTTCATAAGTATTATATAAATACACTAAACCACCTTTTGATTGCTCTGTAGTGGGAATTAACTCCTGTTTAATTAAAACTGTAAATAACAATGATGCCCATACTCAGTTTTTCTCTAATTTCTTAAGAGAAATACTTTTCCTAAGCAATCATTTCGTAAAGAAAATCTACGTACGATAAAACCACATGTCTTTTGTGGTGATGAACATTAGGATGAGTGTCATGTTTATCCCATGGTTGAGGTTTCTTAAAAGTGTGAATAAATGTAAAGAAAGCATTTCCGATATTAAGATTCTCATAATACTGCATAATGCCGTATTAAATATAAAAATGGTGTAAATATAAAGATGTGTATCGTGCAATCTATTTATTATTTTATAAACTCTCCTATAACACAACTATCACCTAAGTTAACAATTCTCTAAAGATTCTAAATAGCAGGAACAACAGAAAGTCTGATGGATTCCCATCACTTGCTGCGAGAGAGATAAGAAAAAAAAAGCACAAACAACTGCCCACATTAATATAGCTACGTACAAACAAATTCAGTAGTGATACTACGATTATAGTAGATGAACAATGAATACGAACATGTCCTTTCCCTTTATACTGCACTATTGCTATACCGAATCTGCAGATGCATTTTTAACTTCAGATGCATTTTGAAGTGACGTTAAATTAGCGAAACGAATTATTATAAGAAAGCATTATAATTTATCGTCATCTGTTGAACATCTCGCGCTTCTGTACACAGACTGGAGAAACAGGCGCAGACTTGAAATACTATTTTCTGTAATTCTGACGACAAAAGTAATGTAACTTAGACAATAAGAACTGTCGCAGAAGCAAATTTTTGTCGTGGAATATCTGATAGTTCAATTATTAATTTTGAGAAAGGTTTTGATCGCAGAGAGATTCGTTGGATGTAGGTGTAAATACGTGGGGTAACAAAGAATTACAAGAATTCTTTTATTAGCAGAAGTAGTAGGACAATATGTTGATGGTGAACAGTTGGAAGTGAACTCGTCTGGCTCTTGGTAACAAATTACACACACCAATCTTTTAACAAGGGTGACCCTTATACAGTAATTGTATCTTACATTATATGTGTTAACATGTGGGAATGTTAATAATTAGCCATTTTTGTACAAAGGATAAACTGTGTAGTACAATGGGTTGTCTAGGCATTATGATGGATAGCTACTATAAGGGGTTGCAATAGACATTACATGATAGTATGTGAATTGATATAAGATCAAAGGTCAGTTAAACCATTACGATAAATTGTAAAAGATTGATATATTAAGCATTATTAACATTTATTTAGTGCTTCGCAATATTAAAATTCGAAACATGAACATGTCGAAAAATATTTTTAGTTGGGAAAAACAACTGTGGTCTACATCAGCCTAAGACTTCTATCGGATATTTTATATTCTAGACATAAAATATGTCTTAAATATTCTAGATATGAATAACATCGACCACTACAAAGAGTGATAGGTGATAAATGACAGAACTCATTACGGGTTTAGACAAACAAAGACAAAATGACAATAAAAAATTATGATGACCAACTAATACGATTTCCTTAAAACACAACCGCTCCCACAAAGCACTTTTTATCCATTACTTTTACATGCAAAAAATTTTTTCAAGAAAATATTTGTTCAACAAAGGAAGCACATTTGGTAAACTAATATTTAAAAAAAATTCAATAATTTAATGATGATGCCATAACCTAGCCGATTCTAGAAACCCCTCCAGGCTTCAGATAACAGTAAAGCTAAGAAAAGATTTATTAATAACCAAATAATCTCAACAAAAGACAATAAAACCAATCAGAAAATTTAAAATGATCTAAAAACTGGGAAAAAATTGATATGACGACATGAACTTATGAAATATTTTACAAGGAACTTCCAATTCTGATTCAGTGATCAAAAATATGACAGAAAAAGTGAAACCAGGCACCATAAAAAGGTATAATTAGCAGTTCCTGAACTGTATAAATGTGTAATAAATGTGGTAATCAAAATGAGATGTATTATTTTGAACAGTGCGTGTGGCCCGAAATGGAGACAAGTGTGTGAAGTATTGGAAAAAGATATGAAAGATTTTTTCACACAACTGAAACACATTTGAAACAAAACGAATTAGTAAGGTATACATTCAATAAGTTTATTTCAATGAACGTATCAACTCTTGCTGATAATGATGAAAAGTTGCTAACGGATTCAATTTCAAACCATATAGATCACTGAACCATTAAACATCAGAACTGTTGGTGTCACATTTATAAAGCAGTTCGTGACAAAGTATTAGTGACTTAACAAATGAAAAACAGAACTGGAGGAGATAAAATCAATCAACATTAAAATTAAACCAAAACATAAGAAACAGTGATGAATAATTTCTATTAAATAAAATTTTTTGCTGACTTTTCGACTATTATGTATGTAAAACCATGCAAAGCCAGTTCATTCAAACCACAAAAAGCATACAAATAGATTTTATCAACCTATTTAATAATTTATGCTAAAGAAAAAAGCTGCTTGTCGCACAACCCCTCATATAAAAGAATCCAACAAATTTCGACAAAAAAGCAACAAATGTTTATCGCATCAATAAAAGAGGAATATACGACATTTGCTCAGTCGTAAGAAAGAAACCAACGAGTGCTTAATTAATGGCATAAATCAAACATGGTTTTGATACCACATGTTCCTCATCAAATAGCCTATTCATAAAACTGGAAATGTAACCAATTATCTAAGAAACCAAAACTCAGTAGTTCCAAATTTAATTTTTGAAGAAAAACTTCAAAATAAAGTATGAGACAGTTCACTAAATTGTTTGTCAATTAAGATTCATGGAGTTTTAGATGACATGCAAGCACCCTAATTTAAGCTGTCAGTTGAAACAAACAGTAAGAATCTCTCAAGTTCAGAAAGAAACCTAAAACAAACAAAGGAAGAGACTTCTATAGCTACAAAAAACTTTTTGTTTTGCTTCATTTATGCAAATGGAAGATAAATCGAGGAGCTATAAGACGAAGGAGTTCCTCAAATTTTTGCACTTCGAATGTGCTCACCGGGAGAAAATATGTAAATTTTGCAACAATTGTGAAGAATTGTATTCTTTAAATCATTTATTTAACAAAGAGAAAAGTTAGCGGGAGAAGCAACCAAAAGTGTAAAAGCAATAACTGATTTCACTCTTATTTTTTTAGGAAATTTGCTTCAAGTAAAATTCCAATTAATTTACATATCTTAAAGAACAAAATATCTGGACAGCAAGGAAAAAATTAACAGTACTGTATAAGCAAAAATTTTTTTCCAACAGAACTGTATCCTATGGTAATTTAAGTTTCCAAAAAATCTGTGCTATAAGCGAATCGTTCTGCGTGCAAGGCTAAGTCTAAGCTATTCCAAAACCACATAATGCTAGCTTTAAACGTTAGAAGTTGGCTGACTCAATATTACTTACACTCTCAGTTGTGTATCACTACGTGTCTTGTTAGTTTTCTGAGATAAACAATAGGAAATTTTACATAAATTATATAGAAATAGCAATGATTTAGTCAAATAAAGTAGACCATTTACTAAGGATATTTAATAATGGAGCAAGACAACGCCAAAAAAAACAATATTTACCTGAGCTGGAGGTATTTGCAAGTCAGATGGCTTACGCAACTTCGAAAAAAAACTTCGTATCCCAGTGCCACCGGATGTGGGCCTCGTAGCCGCGGAATTACTCATCTGCAAGAAAAACGGCTACAACTGCGCGGAAATCTAAAAATTCAGAATACACATACGAATATCATGAATTACACTTTAACTGAAGATAAGCATGGACAATTTCTTAATTAACATAATCACAAAGACCGGAAGAAAAATTGAAAAAAATGTTTTTTGTAATTCGATTTTACATTTCTACCATTTCATATGCCTAGTAGCATCATCTTACTCCATACGAACTATTTTCAAAATTCAATCTTTTTCTTTTGTTGTTAATTTATTTGGAAACAAAAGTACCAAGAAGAAGGATAGGCCAGAAATGTTTGTATTTCACCATAAATAATGGGTACCACACACAGATGGCATTCGACCATTCTAGTAAGTAACTCTTATCCTACATTTTCTCGAATATTTACTTAATGGGATTCTATCTAATAGTAAAAGCCTCGGAATCAGCTGCATATGTACAACACCGATCTTAATAATCACTAGATGACTGAAGTGATTCCTGAAAATCAAGCTATAAACTGCTCACCGACATATGCTTATAAGAGAAAAAATATGGGACCCATTCTACATATTTGTGACAGTTGGCGAAAAGATGAATGACGGCGACACACTTCGGCTGAGCGCCAACAACTCGATTTCATCTGTTCGTTAATGAAGTGCTGTACTTCATATCAGAAAAATCAATTTTTCTGTACTGCTAATGAGACCCACATCTGTCCAGCTATGAACATGAAATGATTAAAATTTTCGAAAGGTTTAAAAATTAATAGCAGTGCGAAGTATAACTTCGTAGTAGAATGCAGCTGTGCAGGTTTGAGGTGCACTGCTCCCTTCTGCATCTCAGTACCCCATTATACTCAATTTTATGAGTAGTCGTAACGAAAAAAAAACGGTACCAGAACAAGTTAATCCATGTTTCAAATCTGCCACAAATTTCAAAAACTTTTAGAGCAATACTAAAGTTCTTCAAAATAAGTACTGGTATAGGATGTGCAGATGAAGAGAATGGTTGAAACTTTATACTATATGAATGAGCTTATTGTGACAGTTAGCAACAAATCCAGCGAATGTTTATTGAAATACTGCAGCTTATGCTTTACAGTTTTTGTTAACTCCAGAAATAGTGATCATCCATTACAACAGAAAATATTTAAATTTGGCTCCATGAAGCTTTCGTTATGGAAATTGGGTGTTATATTTGAAGACAGCGATGGTGGCGAGAAATATGCCGCTCATATAGCTTATGAAGATTTCTTCGGCAAAAATAATGCGAATGAAACATAATTCAATTTCCAAAATGAAGTGATCTGAGTCACTATGTTTTAGTCACTATACAGTAGCAGTAGCCCACAATTTACAGCACGATTTAAAGTCAAAGTCAGCAATCAAATTGGAATACATTGAATAAAAAAAGCATCCACGCATGCACGTCACCAAACCCAAACAACTCTAATGAAAAATTCGGCCTTCGTTACGCATATGTTATCTATGTTGTTTCGAAATTTTAAGAATAACATTACAACCTATCTCTTCTTGTATGTAATAAAAGCCATAAAAAGATGGACGAGTCACTTACGTAAACCAAACATTGTAATTTACCTATTCGGGATATATACTTTTTTTTCTGTTCGTTAATCTACTAATGACTATCAGTCGTTATGAAATTCACGATCAGCAGCAAGAGAATGCTGTCGTACCGTACCGTGTTTCTTATTCTTTGTTTCCGAAAAAAAAAATAATCAGTGTAGAAAAGTTTGTCATTGTAAATTATACCGTTATCTCACTGAAACATATAAATAGAAGCCATAAACCCGTAAACCAAAAAATAACAGAAATCAACCCTGAAATTTCAACAAGTACAAAAACTTGAGCATCCACAACATATAACATGAAATGCAAAATATGTACTGATACAACCAAAAACTAACAGTTATTAAAAAAAAACATGACACACAGGAAAAAATTTTATTTCATAATTTCAAAAAAAGTTGAATTTTGACAATAAAAGCAAAATTTTCTTAAGAATGTTACCACATTATATCACAAGTATCTCCAATATCACAACTACAACTAATATCAGATCAGTTCAAATGAAACCATTAAAATACTTGAAGCCTATAAATATACCCACACAATCAATAGAAGTGTCAAGAACTTGGTCCCAGAAAACTTGAGCAGTCCAAATTTTCAATTATTACTTCTAAATATAGGAAAATCAAAGTTTTTTCGACATATTACATTGTAACTGTTAAAATATTTGCGGATAACAAATAAAATCGGTGTGCACAACCTGAAAATTAATCACAATGAAATTATGGAAATTTTACAAAAAGTGAACTTTTAAAAGTGAAAATTTTTATTGCAGTAAGTACGTGTATTTATAGAAAGCAAATTTCCGAAAGAAGCATGCCTAAATCAAATAGAGAAAAATTAGCGATTCTGCTTCTTCCTTTTAACTGAAGCATTGAAAACTAAAAATTAAGTAAGGGTATTAGAAAAATCTATGAGTAACCTTTACTTTTATTCTGAATTCAGGCCTCTACGGCTCAATCGCAACATCTCAATGAAACCATCGAAAGATTTTATTTCATCTTTACTCCTGTTTCTCAGCAAGCATCTCATACCTGTAATATATGTTTGAAGAACAACCAAACCCACGTGCATAACGAATTAAATTATATTTCTAAAAAACATTCTTACTCATTAGCTACTATAAACTATGCATGAATGCAATAAATAGATTAAAAAACGTAGTAAGGAAAATCACTTCTTTCTAACCATTAGGCTTTGAAACTAATTTTAGCGTGGAAGAACGCACAAATAAAAGATTTAATCTATTTGCCAAGATGAAAACTTGAAAAATAAAGTAGAGAAAATAGAAATTCGAAATCTTCAAAGGGTACACTTAATACTCTCTGATGATATATGATTTTCAGCAGAAAATGTAGTGCTTCTTTTCACACCGCTTCTTTTCTTACCGATATCACATCTACCAGATTTTAAGACAATAACGTTCGATTCTAATATACCTGAATGAAAAGCAAGATATAACAGCATAAAAAGCGCGGCACGTCATAGTAGCTCACAGCAATTACTCCTATGTTTAAAACAAAAACCGATAATTTCTAGAAGTCATTACTCGTACAAATCTTTCATTCCATCGCATTTTAATGCAATACAAAATAACTTTATTACTACTTTTTTTTTTGTTGCTAACTTTTAAATTTAAAAAAATTTGACCTTATTCTAATGAATCTATTGTTTCTCTTCAGTACAATATAGTCACCTCCAGACTTCTTTTTTTCTATTATCGTCTTAAAATGACTTAGCTAAGAAAAACAGGAAACTTTAACCAGATAACTATGACCATATTGGAAATGTAAAAGAGATGTAAAAACAGGCAAGTAATATCCATAATAAGTCAAAGAAGAAGCAAATAAATCAGTAATATGGAGCATATTCAATAAAACACACATTAAAACTGTAAATGCAAATGCAGAAAAAGCACATCTGCTATCACAATAACGTAGAAAAAAATTATAAAAAAAAAAAAAAAACGATCAACAACTAACAAGACTTATAAAAAATTGCACTTTTGCTTCAGCTGCCAAATACTGAAAATAAATGTTTCGAGTAAAAGTCGATAGAGCTATTACAACGAGCAGTTTAAAATTAAAGGAATGCTACACGTTACCAACATCGAAAACGATAACTGGAACTGATAAGTTCGATCCCCATCAAACTTATCAGCAAAGGAATGAGCAGTAAATCAGTTAATCTAGATCCATCCTATAAAACAGCATAGTGAATTCACACGTAAAAATCCAACTCATTAACAGAAGTATATTGAAAACAATAATCTGAAGGATAACTTATTTACGCGCCTGTTCCCGGAAGCTCATACTGCACTGCCAATAACAGATGTGTACACTAAAGCATGCAGATAACTGAACAATTTCAGTGATAATAGAAGATTGCCAAAAAAGCTATTTCATTAAATCGCTAAATACATTACTAGAAAAAATCCTCAAAAATGCATTCAATGCCCACTTTCTAATGGTGACCTTTTTTAGCAGCTTAACGAAGAATACCAAAGAACTGTCAATAAAGGATAATACAAGATACCTGTTAGTAAATGTAATCTCTCTGGTCCATACAACTCACTTGACTTCTGTGCTAGTTCTATAATCGGCATAGAACCGTTCCGAAATCTCACAATCAACGCTGCATACTGCGAAAGCTCCTTGGTTGTTAGAGACCTTGTCAGCTTAAAAGAAAAAAAAAAAAAAAACGATACCATAATTAAATAAATCCTACAGAAAAACTAAAGTGGTGCCCAACTAATATCTACAATTACATAATCCAGTTCTTACGTTTAAGGAAAATTCTAAGTCGAAAGCCGTACGTGCTCACTGGATATCAACTGACTGTGCTCATTTTTATTCTAAAACTATAACAATGGCTACAGCATTAACTCTTTCGATAAATATTGTGCAATACGATTTCGTTTAATGAACATTTTGTAAATCGAGTTAATCTGATCATATTTGACAACCTTAGAAACTTCGGTAATCGCACATTGTGTTGAGACAAGCTATTTTTCTCCTAAATACATGAAATAATAGTTATGAATCAGTATTCACGAGATGTCATCAGCGATGTGATATCAATAGAATATCAGTGGCTAGTTGGCAGTAAAGAGACAGTTTTATACTTGCAAACTTACCACAGTCATATAATCTTCTATAATATCGTCAATATAAACTTCTGTGGAATCACTACGTGAAGCAGTTGTTGAACAAAGAGGATGACTGCTGCTAATACGCAGATCTTGATGTGATTCCGTTAAGCTGTAAATATTTATGACGGTAAGAAAAAACAATTTACATTAATTCCGCACATTATAAAAATTCCTATCTTCGCAATGACTATGTGTTGTATAAAAATTTACATTTCTACCACAACTATTACCAAAGCAGTGTTATATTTCAGATAAAATGAACTAACAATAAAGGGCGATGATTATTAAAAGGTGAAATTGATGAGGTAGTTGGCGTTCCTGAAATTTTTTTTCCTGTTTTTCTCAAAATACACATCATAGTAATAAATGAATCTTATATAATTGAAGCAACCATTCATTTTTTTTCCAACCATTCACTTTTTTTCAGCTAAAGATTTTGATCAAATTAAATGCAGAAAACTTCCCGAACTTTTTAACGCATTCGTTTCAAAATTACTGGCAACTTCTTTGTAAACTTGAGAAAAGAATTGTCCCAGGATATTGCAAATTGCTTCTGCCACACCCTGAATGAAAGTTAACTGCATCTGGTTAATGTAATTAATAAAATACTACGAAGAAGTTTAAAGAGAAAAAAGAAATAAACTGCAAAACCAATAAAGTTCAATGGAAAATGACATTTAAGATGAAATGGTACATTTTGTATTTCTCTCTTAGATATTCAGAAATATGTTCTAGATATTCATGACTAGGAAGGGGTTTTTGTGATTTGATGCTTTTATCAAATTCGATAAAAAAGCAATTTACACACGAAAAAATTCATGAATTGTAAAAATAAACAATCATTAAAAAAAATTACAGCGGTTTCACAATATATGACAGCAAGGTCAAAGAAGTCACAGTTTCGAGTACTGCCGTACCCTATCTTCACAGGAAGAATGTATTCATGAACTTCACGAACAAAGCCAACAGATGCAATCAAGTGAATAGGTACGTAAAGCAGCAGTTCCTGAAATATCGCATTTCAAGTTGGATTTCAATGCTAACCCATTAGTGGCAATATCATAGTTTTATTGTGTTATATTTATTATTACAGCCTTATTAAATATTACTCACATTATCAAGGATTGATCGGATCGTTATTGAACTCAAATCAATCTGAAGCACTGCATTTGCAGTAAAATTGCTTTTCTCATCAAGTGATGCAATTTGCTTCCTGATCTACAATAAAAAAAAAAGCTCTGATTCCGAAAAAAAACCATCAAAACAAATCCAAAGTAAATAGACGTGATGTACTAAAAACATGAAATACTCATATAAACATTCAGTTTCAGTCTACTTCACGCTGTTTACACTATCATCTACCAGTATAATCATTAGTGGATGAAGTACATGAAAAAGAATAGTGATTCCCGAAATAATCACCGCACTTGCAATTTAAGATTTAAAAGTTGATTTTCATCCTCACAACTTTGCGACTGCTTATACATCATCATATTCCTTGAAAATTTTAGAACTGGATACCTTAGCACGATCCAGAATTTTG